AGGATTAATTACTTCCAGGAAACACAAAAGACAAAAGGCTGATGAACAGATCTGTATTTTCTTCAGCTTGATCTCTCTTTTTTCTTTCTTTTTTTTTTTTTTTGAAATGTATATTAAGTCCATGCCAACTCCATGGTTGTAGGCATAGTCTTTGAAGCATGAAATGAATGTAAGCAATAAATCAATGTCTGACAGAATTTGATAGCACCCTAAAACACATGATATGGTATGAAAGATTCGTATATTTCTGTTGAAGCTATAGTTATTTTAAAGGTCATAAATACAACATAAATACATTCCTACTATGTAAGAATGAGAAAAGTATCATATTGTGTATATTTCCAGCGGAATTTGAAATTGGTTATGAGGGAAAAGGGAGAACAAAAGGGAAGTCCCCTTACAGTTAGTAAAAATGAGCACAGTTAAGGTAGGCGGGCCTTCAGCTATACATGACTGTATTGCAACAGAGGAAACAACAGACTGGATTCCTTTCCCTAACAATTTCTTTGGTTCTACAAGTGTGGGAAATATTGGCATAAGCTTTATCTAAACCTATAGATTGATGTAGATGTTTTATAGAGAGTTGCAGTTCTGAAATACATACAAAAATTGACATGAATCCAATATACAAAAATTATTTTAAAGGTGTAAGTAAAGATTATGTCTGAATTTTGTGCCTGTCAAAATTTCCAATAAGGCTGAGTAGCAAATCTCTTTGATAGGTAACATCAGTTGTTCAGGTGGGAGGTCACCCTTGCTCACTGTGTTACATCACTAAAAGACAGTCTCAGTCAATGGTTATAAGAGGATAGAATGAGACTAGTTTAAACAAAAATCTTAGACTCAAGTGTATGTTCCTGGTTAATAATCTGAGGTCTCGGCTGTAAACAAAGTCCATTAAAATGAAACGTCAAATACAAACCGTGAGAACCAAGAAATTTACTTTCTAATTTCCATAGCATTTCTTTTTGCAATCAGTTACAACCAGTTTTCTATTCTAAACTGAATGATAATATCAAAGTTAGCAGCATCAGAATAAATCTGTACATTGGTGTTGAAGTGTTGACTTCCCCCATTACACCCGTTCAACAGCCTATGCTAAAGCTTCTCAGAGCTGAACAATTGGGGCTTGGTGTTTCATTACTCCTGCTTGTTTAGCTCCATCATGATTTGCCAGGTGTTTTTCATAATTAAATTAATGGCAACCAGTACAAAGAAACTCTTATCTCTGGTGAGATTCCAGCCTACTTCAATGGGGTTTTGTTTGAGAAAGAAGTATTTTGCCAGCATTATCTTTATTTTGCCAGTATTATCTTTATAAATGGTACACTTTACATACCTTCATGTATTAAAGGCGATGGGATGAAAGGGTTCTACAGCAAATGTGGGTGCACCACAACAGCACACCAGGGTGGGGGCAGCTCCCAGGGCCAGGGATCCCATTCAGCCCCGGGGCTGGGGGCAGCTCCCGGGGCGGCCCCGCCCGGACAGGTCGCACCACCCCACTCCCAGCCACTGCTGGAGAGAACCTCTTTGTTTGGGGGTGGGGTTGGTTGGGGTTGGTTTTGGTTTTTTTTAAATGAAATTCCTGGCAGCCCATGTTCTGTGTGTGCAAGGGGTGCCGAACAGATCTTGCTTGTGGTTGGCTATGAGAAAGACTTGGAAACTGCAAGTTCTGTGTCATGACTTCAATGGAAATTTTGAACGTACTGGTTCATTTATCTAATTATCAGCTTTCACTACCTGAAAATTAGACAGCTAGTACAAAACACAACCTAAACATAAGAAAGATGTCAGCTGTGATCATGAAAAGGTTTAGAAAAGTTCTGAATAAGGACAGGCGGGGACTTTATTAAGGCCATCTCATTCTTTTTTAATAAACGTAGCTGAATCTTCTTACACACATGGGCAAATTGTTTCATCCAAAAATTGTATTTAGGGAGGTCAAAAAGCTCTGCAGACAGACAACTGTTTTATAAATAAAGCCTTTAACATGACTCTTGAAGATAATTTTTTGTGTTTATCTCTAATGGGGAGTTAAATCTCTCCAATTCTTATACAGCAAAGAACGCTTTATCTAGATAGACGTTTTATTTTCACTGTAACCTACATTGCATTAAATTATTTAATTGCTTAAACTAGTTATGCTATAATTTCAAGCAGGTACTAGCTCCACTTCTGTCAATATGACAGACAAATTCCTGGGCTTATCCAATTCCTAGTGCAAAAAAAAAAAAGCGATTCCCACTCACTTACACTGACTCTCGATCTGCCTCTTCTTCCAGGTTAAGTCCTAATGGGCAGTTTACTATTTATCATGAAATAATTGATCTCATGTCTCCAGCTGAGATAGCCTGTTGATGTTCAACAAAAAAAAAATATTAGAAGTGACTAGATATGGATTTTAATCTGTTAACAAGCCCAAAGTAATGCTCATTAGCTTTGAGCTAAATAAACAGTATTCAGGGTTGTCTCCATTGATGCTGAACTGAATACATATGCTTCTTCTCCAACTATGAAGAATGTCTTAATCTGTGACTACTTAAGGTCTCCCATCTTTTCCAGTCTAACAGATACTCTCAGTATTGTCCTCAACTTTTGCTCATAATTAACTCCAGCAGGTTTCTTCAGGGCTGTGCTGAAGATCCAGATAATAGGCATGCTTGCAATCCATTGCCTGTTACTTGTGCCTAGTGCAATTTCTCTGGTCTCCAGGATCTCAGTAACAACTTTTTGGTCACAATATTTAGTAAATACATCCTGCAAATTTTATCAATGTTGTACTTAATTTTCTACTCTGTAGCTAATGTGCCACTAGTGTTCTAATAGACTTTAATGGCCCCTGTGTTCAGATTCATAGAGACTCAGTCCACATTCCCAGGGTTCTCGTTTTCCCATATTATCCCCTGGAAGATTGCCTTATACCAAGCCACCTCCATATTCAGCCGTAATCAAATGGTCAAACCCACATTTTACTAAATCTTGATGCTGAAACTCTAGGTGGTGCAAACCCCAAGGTCATCCTTCCCTAAAACAATAATCAAGTCATTAAGTAGATGCAGTTTGCCCACCACAGAGTGCAGGAGGGATGTATTCTAGTAATAGAATACTAATAGCATAAGTACAAAAACCAGTCAATTACCTGTAACAGAATGCAGGACAGATGTATTTTATTACTGTTAGTTTAAACCAGAAGTATACCAGGCTGCTCTCAAAGAACATAGGATCCTTTCCTAAGCAGATTTATCCCCTCTGAGAGTCTAGGTCTTCTAAGGCAAGTACTAGTCTGTGGAATGGACTACATGAAGTGGAAGAGAGATAGATACGGAAAGCCTTTGTGAAAAAACTGGAGTTTAGATGGGAGTCTCAAGCAGGAAGGATATCAGCTACACAGAAAGGCTTTATGACTGAACTTCTGAAGTGAAGAATGTAGCCAAGACAGTAGTAGTTTCTCAGATCAGGTAAACCTACCAGTTTCAAAATAGCTTCCTTAGATATAGCTGTGGTTGAAGAAGTTTGGGTGACCCTAGTGGTAAAATCTCAGCTTTGACTACCTGCTGTTACCTCTCCTGATAGACCTATCACCATTATGATCATGCTGGTGTTATCCTCATTAGTAGAATGTAGAGTACAAGTACTCCATCTAGAAGTACTTGTATTCACTAGCTTGGGTCTTAGGTTCTTGAATTCACTAGCTTGGAAACTTGGGTCTGTCAAGGTGAACTGAAGACAGTTCAACTGAAGGCTGCTCATCTACTGATGAACTACTAGCCAGTTCTTATATCTAAAGATATGATAGTGAGTGTCTATGGAGCTAATCCTGAAATCTTTAGTGAAAACATCCTAAATGAGCATTTCTAGACAAGGCTTTTAAGGCGACAGTCATCCCAACACAAAGAGACCAAAAAAAAGACTATGTATCACTTAGCCACCAGATAAGTACAACACTAACAGCTTAACCTTCATATGTGGAGGTTACTGTCAGCCTTAATGAATATCCCTGAAAGATCAATGAAGAACATTTAAATTGAGTCCTTAAAAAATATTAATAATAACAATCTAGGAAAAAGTGGAAATGAAAGGTCAGAATTCTAAATAACGTCATCAAGGAAGGAGATTAAGAGTAGCAGAGGGAAGCTGTCCAGTGATTACACACGCTGTCAGAGCCATTATCAGATGTGGTCCTGAAAGGGCAACTGTGATAGAGCTGTAAGCTGAACTAAATTTCTGTTATTCTGTTAAATTATTCCCCTCTCCTCCATATTATTTTTCAAAAATTAAACACTGTATTCTATGTGGAGCTGTTAGGCCTGTGGCAGGAGTCTGCATTCAGAGGTTATTCTGGAGAGGTAAAAAGAGATGAAAGGTGTACTCTGAAAGGGTAGGTTTGCATAAGCAGTGGCAATTTTCCACTCACAATGATGGCCTGCAGGCCCTGTAAGATACCTATAAAGGATGTCTGTTTTGAGACACTAGGACAGAATGATATAAACTTCATCCTTACTATATAATGAAATTCTGTCTTCACTCTTGCAAGTACTTTCTCAGCTCCAATAATGACAAAGTGGAGGCTGAGGTCAGAGTACCTGACCCAGCTAAAGGCTGATGTCTTATTTATTTCTCAGTAATCGTTTTAGGATAATTTAAAATGGGTATCTAGGTCTAATTTTAGTAACTGGCAATGAATTTTTCCATGACATAAAACAAGGAGTATTTGCAAACATACACAATACTTCTATTCTTACAAAATTTTCAGTGTTGCAGAAGTATTAAGATTGGCTAGAATTGGCATGCTTAAGGCCTGCTGTAACTCCATCGCATTCCAGTTTGGACCAAATCCAAGTAGGGTTTGTCCTTATTTGTCTACTTTTTCATGTCCTCTGGCCAAGGACCTTGCATTAATAAAGAGCATTAGCGAGTAAGGGCCATACCCGGTTATCAGTAGCAAAATGTCTTGCCTCTTTGCTGAGTTTTTTCAGTGTGGCCTGTTGAAATCTCAGATTCAAAGCCACAGACTTCTAGACCTGCCAGAGTGCTCATGATGTGAGCCGTGACACACAGGTACACACTTGGAGCGCAGAATTGCCAGCAGGCAGGTGTGAACTGAATACAGCCCTCTCTGCTCTAGAGCAGCACAATGTAGAATTGTGGGTCAGAACCAAGAGGTGATGCTTGCAACTGGGAAGTCCCAGGGACATGATGAAGGGAGACAATGAAGAGACAAGGGACAGAGATGCTGCCTCATGACCTTATTCTGTAGTGTCTAGCAAGGAACAGTGGTGGCAGCTGCTGAAGGCAATGCCATGGTGCTGTATTGGTAACTGCTGTTATTAGCTGGTAAAATATCCTTTTGCTGATCCAGTTTGTACAAACGTAAAAATGTGCTTCTCTTTTGCATTGCTGAAGGAAAGTATAATGGCCCCTTTCCCTAAATATCTACAGACTAATGTCCTGATTAGTATTGAAATTCCTCACGTGATAACACTTATAGTTGGAAGGCAGCTCAATTTGTAGCGTTGTCTTTGGTCTTGTTTGGCTAGACCCAGGTGTCAAGAACAGGACACACAGAGATTTAGCCAGATGTACAAGACAGTGCTCCTCCTGAGCAAAACTTTTTGTTCCATTCAATTGCAAACTCAATATCACAATGTGTTGACAGTAAAGGATGCTGCTGATTTAAACTGATTTCCATAAACTTCCCATCAAGCCTACAAATATGTCTTCCACTTTCATGGGCTTAGTCCCCCAGAGAAATGAAAACTTCTATGATGTGACCTTCTGCTTCTGCCAGCGTGGCTGTGAGTCGGTGGATTGTCTGGGTGCAAGCTGGGAGCTGCGCTACAGACTAAGGACACTGTTAGGCAAGATACAGCACGGCCTGCTGGCTACAGCACTTGGTAGCTCTCAGGTTTCTCTGAAGAACCTAGACCAACTCCAGCTATCTATCTGCCCAAATCTAGATCTAGACACCTTTGTCCCAAGAGCAGGTGTTTCTGAGAATGTATAGCTAAGTGCCCAAGAAACTTGATACAGTTCTCCAAAAAGCTGAATGATGACTATTTTTTTTGAGTTTTTTTCTAAAATGAGATCTAAAGATACTGCCACAGCACTTTATTTGAAGATAATGTCATGCATTTAAATGCAGAAAGAGAAGAGTAAGTAACAGTCTGATAAATTTCAGTGCTACAGAGGCTAGAGATTTGAAAAGTAATGAGACCATATTGCTGTCTGTTTTTTAAATGGTCTAGAACCTACCCTAGATCCCTGGAACAAAAACTAAGGAAACAACATTGCTAATGCAGTTTTACCTGATTACAGATTGAAACCTGTATTAATCAAATATACTGTGCTGGCTGTTAGATATGGCTTAACTGAGCTTCCCCTGAGCAGCTATACTGTAGTGTGAACCTAACATATACTTTTGCTCTGCTTTATATAACAAAATAACTGCCACGTCAGTTATGTCAGAAGCCTTTTCACAACATCTGTTGTTGCAGAACTGCAAGGAGCAATCTGAGGCCTATTCCATTACACCTTTATTTTCTGCACCACTTGTATGCTCATTCTATGCAGAAGTCCTCACAGTGCTGGCAATAATGAGTGATGAGATGTGTGCACAGGGAAAAAAAGCCAGGTTTCAGTGGCAATTTAATACTGGGACATCACTGCATTTTCAGGAGATTGCTACCAGTCCTTGCCCCCTGCCCCCCACCCCCCCAAAATCAGAAACAGCAGTAGCTGAAGCAGCCTGTCAAGGCAGCATCGTTAACTCAAGGAATGTTTTACTGTTCATGGCATCAGCAGCAGATTTTAATGTCTCATATCCAGTCCATAAGAAAGGCATTTAAATATGTCCATTCTTTTAAAAGATTTTGCAATTTATAAGGAAATATTGTAGAGTTTAATAAGAGTTGGATTTTTATGTGGTTTTGTAGAACCATAGCTAAATGACATAAACTGCCAGAATCTGTCATTTAAACAGACTATTGTTTAGATTCTGAAATGAAGATTAAAAATAGTATGTCAAGAATTATACAGCCAAACTGTGGTCATAGATTTCTTACCTGGAGTATGCAAAATTTTCCATGCATTTCAGTCCAGAATACAGTTCCAGAAACACATCCAGAACACAGGAAGTTTTGCTGGGGAAGATTCAGTCAGCGGTCGGTTTTTTACTCTTCTGTGTCAGCACAGCTAGCCTAGCAGGTTGCTACAGGCTTTTCTTAGGAACTTGGTGCTTCTTTTCATATAAGCTACATCAGTTCTATGAGGATTTACCGGTGTAATACTATCTGCAAAGCATTCTTCGTGTAGATTCAGAATAGGGAGTCCCTTTTTTTTCTTCTTTTTCTCATAGTTGCTCTTGTTCTTCCTAGTGATCCCCTGCCAATTTTGCCTAATGAGTTGTAAAATCTAATCAATTGCAATAATTAAAACATGCTGTGTGTGGAATGATGCACAACTTTAATTACACAACAAAGTCCCAGACAAATAAAAGCTTGAGATTCTTACATTAGCAGAAATCAAAATACTTTCCTTTGCTGTAAATTTTTATGACCAAGAACAGACTCATGCTTATAGATGATGTGTATAAAACATTAAAAATTCCAGGCCTGCTATGCTGTAGATGTTATTAATAGCTGGCAGAGTTCAGGCTTGCATGTTACCAGCACATGAATGAATGGCTGGAGCAAACAGATAGACAGTTGCTGTCAGTAAAACACCCTGGGTGGCAACTCTGAATAGGAATGTTTTGTGTTCCAGACCTGTAAAATGAATGGAGTTTCAGCGTTGTCACACCATGTAAGAAGGGGTGCTATACATTGACCCACCTCTTTTCTAGGATCTTTTGTACGCTGGTGAAAATTTAGGAATAAAATTAATTCCCTATGACAGACTGAAACACCAGGGTTTCCTTATTAAAACCAGTTTGATGGCAATTGGGCAGATAATGTTCACATGATTTTCTTTTTTTAAGAATAACACATGTCAAGTGATTGGGTCCTTCTATTATACAGCTTTTTCCTGTGCTGTTATTTACATTCTGATGCTGGCCCCAATGAGGAAGCCATCAGTTTGACAGAAACTTCAAGCTCCACAATTCAGACACGTGCCATGTTTATTTGTTCTTTCAATTCTGAAAGTGAAGTGAGAGAACCTAGTATACCTTAACTTAAGCTTTAAACTTTTTCACAGTGAAATCTGATACAGGCAGCTTTCATAGTTGAAAGGTAGTTACTGCTCTCCAATGGCGTCGCCTTTTGTCTGCCTCGGTCCTAGCGACGGAACATCACAAATTTCATTAGTCAGCCCTGCCTAGGTATGCAGTGTTACTGCCTTCATTCTTTACGAAGATTGGATTCTTCTGCTGTTGTGGTTAGCAGCAGTTTTAAAGGGATGTATAGCCCTCCTAAATAGGATAGATTAACCAGGCTATGTTTTCTGACTGGGCTGTACAAGAGATAAAGGCAGGTGGTCCACAACTCACTTGGCAGGAGAAATGAATGGATCTTATTCTTCCAATAAATATGGCTAAAATAAAAAAAAAATAATAATAAAATAAAAAACGCAGTGGCGGCACTGGTGGGGAGAGATACAAATCTGTTTAGAATACTTCCAAATACAAAAGGTACTACCTGTTCTGTACTATTATTAGCTGAAAAAGGCCAAAGATGACACATAAGTACACAGTGATGCCAAATACAGACCCTCACACCATGAGCTATTTTGGTTTGTGCTTAGAGAGCTGAACTTGTGCTTAGTAACCCCAGGCTGAAACAGGCTTACTGCTGGTTTTTTAAGTTCGAGTGAGGTGGCCTTTCCCTCTCTGGAGCTGTTATCACCACTGCGCCCAATCTCTCCCCATATAGCCATTACACCTGTATTCTGTTTAGCTGAATTTCACTCTTCATGAGTATTACAGCAATTTTGTCAGGCTTAGTGTGTCATTGGAAGTACACCAGCCACCACTAAATGGATCTAACAGTACCATTTCTGAGAGATGAGAGCAAATGCTTTTATGAATGAGCTTAAACTGACCTTTAAAACAGAAAACGATTTATTTTAGTATTTCTAATAGAAACCTGGGTTTACTTAGGACTTCTAAACAAAACAATATATTTTTTCCAAGTGTTCTAATAATTTTTGCATCACCGTAACACTTTGTACACTGTCTCAAAGCTGCCCATATTTGTAATAATGAAACTTTATCGTAAAACCATTAGGTTCTCTGATAGATTCATTTCTTTTCTCCTAATATTGGTTGTGTGAATGAGAATGACCCGCAATTCCAGGCAAAATGGAAGGCTGTGAGGTACGGAGGTGCCTGAATTTCATCAAAATGAATGAAAAAATATTTCAGAAAACCTATCTCCTGACACAGAAATTGAAACCTTATTTCTAGGAAGCATTCATCTACTTACACATTTTAATCATGATGAGAAACTGGGTTCACCTTCATACCACTGCTTACTTTTTAACATCTTGCTCTCAACCTAATTCAGGGCCAATACCTTCAATTCTTATAGTACCTGCAATTCATCTAGACATGACAATTGAGCAGGACTAGTCTCCTGAACAATGCTTCTGGTTTGTTTTTCTTAACTTTGACTTTTGGCTCATAAATTTACGCACGGCTAGGAAGGTGTGCACTACATATTACTAAATGGAGAGCTGACACATGGTATTTCCCAGTCACTTCTCCACACTGTGTAAAGTTTTCCAAAATTACACTTAATGCAGAAAATTAATAATGTTCTGCACATTAGCAGGAACTTTATATCCTTCATTTGGTAACTTGCAATAATAAATATCACCTCCCATTGTAATGTAAAAATGGTAAGACCGCTCATGGCTTGCTTTCTGAAATTAATTGGCTTACTGCCGGCTGTAAAACCATCAGTTTTGACCATGCCTAAGATGATTCTAATGTTTTCTTTCTGTGCAAAACTCAAAAAATTACAACAAAATAATGAACGCAGCAGCCAAAGTGGCTTCCACTATTCTGAGTTTATTTGACACACGCACATTTGAAAGGCTTTAAGCAAGCCCTGACGAATACACTCGTATCAGTCTAACCAAAACGTTGTTTATTTTGTTTTACAGATTTTGGCCATTGTGTCCATTCTGTTCATCGTACTGTCCACTATTGCTTTGTCTCTTAACACACTGCCAGAGCTTCAAGAAATAGATGAATTTGGGCAGCCAAATGACAACCCTCAGCTAGCACACGTTGAAGCTGTGTGTATTGCTTGGTTTACCATGGAGTACCTTTTGCGTTTTCTGTCCTCACCAAATAAGTGGAAGTTCTTCAAAGGCCCGTTAAATGTCATTGACTTACTGGCTATCTTGCCATACTATGTCACCATTTTCCTCACGGAGTCCAATAAAAGTGTCCTACAGTTCCAAAACGTCAGACGTGTGGTTCAGATATTTCGTATTATGAGGATCCTAAGGATTCTTAAGCTCGCCAGGCATTCAACAGGCCTTCAGTCTTTAGGTTTTACGCTCAGGCGAAGTTACAATGAACTGGGCTTGTTGATATTATTTTTAGCCATGGGAATAATGATATTTTCGAGTCTTGTATTCTTTGCTGAAAAGGATGAGGATGCTACAAAATTTACCAGTATCCCTGCATCGTTCTGGTGGGCAACAATCACTATGACTACTGTAGGATACGGTGACATTTACCCTAAGACACTATTAGGTAAAATAGTTGGAGGACTTTGCTGTATCGCTGGAGTGCTGGTCATAGCCCTGCCCATACCAATTATTGTGAACAATTTCTCAGAGTTTTATAAGGAGCAGAAAAGACAGGAGAAAGCAATTAAGAGGAGGGAAGCACTTGAGCGAGCTAAAAGAAATGGCAGCATTGTCTCCATGAACCTGAAAGATGCCTTTGCTCGCAGTATGGAAATGATAGATGTAGCAGTAGACTCAGGTAAGCCTGGAGAAGCAGCCAATCCAAAAGAGACACCTGATGACAACCACCTGTCCCCAAGCCGGTGGAAATGGGCCAGAAGGACAATGTCTGAAACAAGCTCAAACAAGTCTTATGAGAACAAATACCAAGAAGTTAGCCAACAAGACTCCCACGAGCAATTAAACAATGCCGCAGCATCCTCCAGCCCACAGCACCTCAGTGCCCAAAAACTGGAGATGTTGTACAATGAAATTACTAAAACTCAGTCTCAGCCTAATCTTAATGCTGGTTACCAAGACCAGTCAGCCAAGCCACCTATATATGAAGAAGAAATAGAAATGGAAGAAGTTACAGGTCAGAGAGACCCGTTGCCAACCGGACCTACGGACATCATAACGGACATGAGAAGCACATCCAGTATCGACAGTTTTGCCAGTTGTGCAACTGACTTCACGGAAACAGAGAGGTCTCCCCTTTCTCTGTTTCCCAGCTCTCATTTGCAAATGAGATTTCCAGCTGATGCTGTTAACCCAGAAGACAACCAAAGAGTAAGGAGTTCTCAGTTTACAGCATTCACAAAAGACAGAGTATTTTCTCCAACCGATGTCACCTTCGACTATAATCCAATCGACAGAGCTGTTATCAGTGACGGCAGTGGGTCCCAAACTGTTTTGCATGGTCATTTGCATTTTGACACTGCCATGGAAAGCCCCAAAAGTTCCCTGAAAGGTAGCAACCCATTAAAATCTAGATCCCTTAAAGTTAACTTTAAAGACAATAGAGGTGGTGCTCCACAAACTCCACCAAGCACTGCAAGGCCACTGCCAGTCATGGCAGGAGCAGACTTCACACAGGCCACCCCTCAGCACATCAGCACTATTCTCCTAGAAGAAAATTCACCCCAAGGTGAACGACCTTTACTTGGTGCCGACGCATCAGCACTTTGTCAGGGACCTGCTAAAAAATCATCCCCTCTCTTTCCCAAACAAAAGATTTTCACTTTCCCTTCCAGAGAGAGGAGGAGCTTCACTGAAATAGACACTGGCGAAGAAGAAGAGTTTATGGAGTTACATGGTATAAAACATGAAAAACAACAGGATATCAAGACAAATTGCTGTGGGGATAAACACTGTGATGGCAACCATTTAACAGAGGAGCCACAGGTCAGCTCTTCACCCAAAAGCATGAGCCACAACTGTACTCAAGACATTTACCATGCTGTGGGTGAGGTAAAGGCAGACAGTAACCAAGAAGGTCACAAAATGGAAAACCATTTATTTGCCCCAGAAATTCATTCAAGTCCAGGAGAAACTGGTTACTGTCCCACACGCGAAACTAGCATGTGACTAGTTACAAAAGCAATAAAAATACCTTTTCTTAAAACACAGTTAGTAATGCCTATGAACTAAAAACATGGAAAGCCTCAAAAAAGTGCATAAAATGTTATTTTTGCATGGCATGAAGAGTTGTTTAGTTTAAATACTGTTTAATTTAAAAAAAAAAAAAAAAAAAAAAAAAAGACTGCTTTTTGTAACAAACTGAAAAAAATGGGGAAAAAAAAGACTCCAGAACAGTGAATAAAATAAAGAGAGCTCTGTTAGGAGCCAGTGTTCTGCAACATCTGACATTTTTGATCCTTTCACTTATGATTGTAGACAGATTTTGAACTCTTTTAACTTTTTTTTTGTTTTCTTGGTTACAATGAATTTTAGAATTTGCACATGAAAGGACGAAATGTCAATGCATGCATTCATAAAGATGTGAAACAAGGTGCTTTGAGCTTGCAAAATGCATATATTTGTAAATAGTTTGGGGTTGGGGGGAAAGCTACTGTTAACAAGGATTTATGGAAAAAGCATTTCCTGGGACACAGGTACTTCCTTCACAGCGTGCTGCCTGGAGGTTTTGTACAGACTTATGTTGCAAAATTGCAACTTCTACTTAAAGCATCTCACGTATCTTGCTTTCTGTTAAAAAGCTTATGAGTATATCTGTTAATTAAGGACTACAGTATTTGAGTTTATCTGTGCTCTAAATCATGATGGGTTTTTTTATGTGCATAACTTTAGTTATTGCATTTGTCAGTTTAATTAGTGATCCTGTGAGGAAAAGCAAAGATTTAATGACCAGAACTTGAACCATTTCATATTTTTATAGAAAACTGCCAACATGTCATAACTAAGAAAAAAAATTCCACTTCAAAATAAAAAAGATAAGTTATTTCTGTGGCAATAAATAGTGCCAAATGGCTATATAGACATATCCAAAAGTTCTCAATCTCTTAGAATATTTCTTTTAATGGGGTATTAAAAAAACATATTACCCACATTGGCTTTTTTTTCCCTTTGATTTAGCAATA